CAACTGCACAGAGCCCTGGGAATCAATATTAGACCTCCCATCTGTCAAGAGTCTCCAAGAAACTAGTACATATTTGATCAAATTTGGCCATCCAGCCCAAAGCTCGGGATATATGATGTTCAGTCAGATGGTATATGTTTTTTCTTCACTTTTTATGCATTTTTTTGCTTGCTGCTATTGGACACTAAAGAAGGGGAAACGCACAATAGAAGCTTATATGTCTTGTTGTAAAATTGGAGAAGTTCAATAATGTGTTTATTGAGACAAAAATGAATAAAAATGATAATGTTCAATAAATATGAACAGTAATACTTAAAAGGATATTCCAACCTCCATGACCACTTCCAAAACTAATGCATATGAGCAGCTTTTCTGCTTAAAACACTGCCTCTACAGAAATATCTGTTTGGGATCTAGTTGCACACATGATCTAATCAGCCTCAGTGGCATCTCCAGGATTCATATGTAGGGGGGCACATAAGGGGCCAGGGACAAAAGTAGGGGGGCAGTTATAAAATGTGTATATATGTGTGTGTATGTATGTATGTGTATTGGCGCTCAGAGTGTCACATTAAGCTCCACCGTTTGTCAAGATTTGTCAAGCATAGGAAAAATACACAAGACAAAGTAGTTCCTATTTTGTCATATGTATTTAATGAGAAGAAGACCAGAAAGGAAGAAAAAAAGAACATATTTGGATAGAGTAAAGTAGAGAAATTAATATAAGAAAGGCACATTTTACGTGACATAGCTTCTTTAAACCTCTCATTGGCTGTAATGGCACCCCCAGGCATAAAAGGGTTAAACCGCCGTTTAGTATATCTTCCCCTTCCAGAGACACAGGCACAGCTACTACAGAACCCCAAACTCCTGAACAGGATACCAAGTAGCACTCCAAATTCCCGAACTGGAACCTCACGAATAGCTGCTAGCAGCTGAACAGGAGAAGCACCCAAGCGGCTTACACTCCTGGCAATCAGTCTCTAACAGCATCCAGTAAATCCCCCCAAGAACAAGACAAAGCTCCGTGTTGAGGGTCAAGCAGTGAACAGACAGAGCTGTGGGTTTATTGTTCTTATATACACATTAGTACCACCCACGGGGTTTTGGAACACAATACACTCAGACACTCCCACACAAAATCCTCCCCTCTGCCTGTGATACAATTACCTTACACAATGGGTAATGTAATTATCACAAGAAATACAATTTTCCCACATTATTCATAACTTGAAAAGTATGCATCACATTCACATAAACATTACATTACATTTTCAGAATCAGCATACTCCAAATACAAACATTTGTCAAAATCATCCAAATTGGTCTAGTGGTTCAAAAGATAGATTGAAGTCCTTTGTGACCACATGAAGCATGGCTTTTCTGCCCAAAACCAGTTCCACAGAGTCTTCTATCCTGGAGATAATTGGGAAGTAATCCAATTATCTCCAAGGACAGAGGAAAAACTCCATTAAGCACATGGCAGCAAAAGACAATAAAATACATGCGGTTACATTTATGCCATAAAATACAGACATGCAACATATCCCCAGATAGCTTAGGTCTGAGCACACATTATTACTGAATGGCGCTCAGACCACACACATACAGTTCAATTGCCATGGAGCCAAAGTCTTTCCCATATTCTTTCATTATACGAATGGGTTCCATGGCATAGCTATCTGAGGTATCACTGCTCAAACAGGGCAAGCACCGAATGACCCGGCTTTCTTGTCTTTGCAGGGTAAAATCAAGCGTTTCAACATGGGGCCATAGTCTAAAGGCAGCAGGCAGGCAACCAGGCTCCTCCAATGCACAGTGGCGAGATTGGTCTTGTCACATTGGCAATTTACAAATATCTATCGTTCACTTTGTTACCACAATGTTGTATTTAATGAGAGGAGTAAAGGATGACTGAGATGTCTGAGAAAGCAAGACTATGTGAAATGCATTACAGCATCAGGATCCCAGGTGGATCAGCTCTAGGACTGTATGAGATAAAGAACGGACTGTGCGATTAATTGCTATTCGTGCTTGTGAGATCCAGGATAAGATACTTTTACGATAAGCTATTTTTTAGGAATTATGTAAAGAAGGAAGTATCACCTTAACTAGAACATGTTTCACTAAAGTTTGTGGCTGCTCTTTTGCCCTACCATTAAAAGTGGGTGTAATTTTTAAGTACATTATTGTGAAGTAGCTAATTGTAAAGAAAAGTGCTTTTGTTCTGTGCTTTCTTTCATAATCTGCTAGGAAAATTTGAAATTGAACATTCCCTGTGCTCTTAAGGGTATATCACCTGTTATTGGGACTGATGCCTTTGACTGAGAGTTAAGAGAGAGAAAAAGGTCCAGGTACTCCAAAGCTCAGCAAGGATAATTTACTTGTACAAGTACACAGCACCATTTTGACCTTACAAAAGGTTTTTATCAAACTTGACAAAGATCCTTTGTAGGATTGAAAAGTTGCTGTGTACTTGGTTCCAATTAATTTGCCTAGACCTTTTTCTCTCTCTTGGATTCAATATTGTGTGGGAATTGTGCTAGTTGTGCTATAATCTTGCTCTACTGGATAAGTGCAGTTCCACATTTTATGTTGGTTAATACTTGCCTGAGAGCTGGTCCAAAAAGCTCTCTCAAATGTGAGTAGGGCCTTCATGAAGTTTATTTTAGGTTTTTATGTATTGACAGTATTACACTATATGCTTTTTCTTTTTGGTTTCATATGTATATTGCGAAGAGCTAATTCTTAAAGTGAAAGAGCTGGATTAACCAGTGGTATTTATATGTATCTTAGAGGGTTTTAAGAAAAGCTCCACAATTTTACAAATTTTTGGTTTCTTTTGGTGTATTGCTATTGGGGGTGAAGCACACACGGATGAAGCAGCTAAAATGTATACTGATTATATATTTTGTTTATTTCATATGCACATTTTTCACACAATTAGCACCAGTTAGTTTTACCAGTTATTTTTTGGTGTTAATGTAGTTGAATTGGATTTTTTTTTCCAAATCAACTACTTTAGAATCAGTTTTGTCATTTGAATTATAGCAATAAGCCATGCACTTTAAAACATCATTTAAAAATAAACAGATTTAGAAAATCCGGAATGTAAGTTGTACTGGGGCAATGTTCATAGGAAAACATTGCAATCTACTACGCTTCTAATTGTCTTTTTCCTTTTACCTGAATGGATAAATACTCCACAATGTTTATTTGAGATAGGACTGATTGGCTGACAACTGTAAATGCAAACTTTGCAGGCTTACCCTTTTTGAGTTTATTATTAGAATAATTTTTGCACATTTTTTTTGTCAATATATTATTTACTTATACATAGCAACATGTGTAAATTCTGCATCATATCTCATGTAATTTTAATCTGAAATCATGTCATGAAACATTCAAGTAGAAAAAATGTAATTGTACATGGATAGAGTGGAAAATGATATAGTGTTATAGAATTGCAGTCTTAGCAAGTTAAAAAAGCTAGTTGTAATACCTTAATTTTCTCAGTAGGTGTCAGTATAAATTCATACATAAATACATGGGTAATACTACACGTTACTGCATGCTCTGTTCCTTGTTTTTAAAATCTATTTTTTTTAATTAAATTAGAATTTTACTATAGAAAATATATATTGTCATATCTATTATTCATAACATGCTAGCAACAACCAGGGAATTTCAAAACTGCACAAATCGATTCTAAACTAGACTGTAGCCCCAAACAAAGAAAAACTCAGTGGTATACAAATATTCCTTAGGTACGGACAAAATGTCTGATTATAGATGTGTCTACATAACAAAATGTCCAATCACATAATGTCCAAATGAAACAAAGAATGAGTCTCACGGTGGACTCGATTCATTCATGTGATTGAGCTGATTTTGTTGAGGCAAATCAGCTCACTCCTTTGTCATGAGATACAATGGTTTAGTTATAAGAAAAAATGGAGTGGGAGTGGTTTGGAGCTTCATATAGTGAGACCTATGTTTGGTGCACTGTGATGGTGTGGCGATTTACAGTGTGCAACACAGTGATTTCACCCAATTATATGTGGATTTTACCCTTTCATAGCACAATGACATACAAATCCACAAAGAAACATAAGCCTAATAGAGCACTGAGGCCGAGAGTCCACCCAGCCTCAATATTTATGATCCTAGATATCCACGTTCCCACCCAACACTAGTTGGCCTGATATGGCCTTAATCTTACTGTTTTGATTACAGCCTCGAGCCACAGGCTATTTTAAACAGTGCACTGTAAAAAGTTTTTTTAATTTCTCTGTTCGATATCCTTATGGCTTTTGTTTTGTATTACTTGCAATGACATGTCATGTAATAATAAGTACAATGGGTGTTGAAGCATTGTCAGTGGTATCTATGATGCTACTTTATCTTTGGCCACAAACAGATACTTAATCTTACAGACTGTACATATTTGTCATGTATATTTTGCTTTAATGATCCCTTTTGCATGTCATTTTTCAATGAGTAACCCTACTGGCTCCAAGTGCTGGGGAAAGAACCGATGTGGAAGGCATTGGCGGGGACTGTCTGGAGATACCACATTCTTTAAAAGTGTAGTCGAAAGATTGGCCATTACACTCCTTAGCAGCAGACTTACTTTGACCACCTAGAGGCCTTTCACAGCTTTAAATATTGCTAAATTAGAATCGTGGTTCATTCTATTTTTCCCAGACCACTTAAACTGTCAGGTTTCAAAACTGACATGTAAGACTTTTTCGTTTATTACTGACCCTTTAAGTGAACTTCATGATTTTCTCCTCTAGTGGTCTCCCTAGCCACTAATCTATTCACTCACCTTAATAACCTCACCTGGATTAACTAATTAGGAGGCTTGATAAGTCTACTCCCGGCACACAACAGGGCCTTGACAATGAAGTCTATGTTCTGATAAAGAATCTATGTTCCTGGTAATATCCTGTATTTTATCTACATTATTTCATTCTGTAGAGAACGTACCTGCAGTGCCTCATTCTGTACTCATCTACATTTCCTCATACTGAAAGGCACTAACCTGCATTACTTCATCCTGAACTTGCCTGAATTACATCTTACCGAAAGACTTTCCTTATCAGCTTCCAAGAATCCTGATTTGTGGCGTATTGCCTTCATTGAAGAATCTTAACTGCTTCAATTGCTAAATCACTGCATGATCTCGTAAGCAACCTGCATTATATTATTTTGGAATATACCTACCTGTTTCAACCTCTGCAACTCTGCATGATCCTGTATTGCCTTATCCTAAAAGGTATTTACCTATAACTAGCTGCATTGCAAAGTATCCTGGAAATCCTTAAAGGACCACTATAGTGCCAGGAAAACATACTCGTTTTCCTGGCACTATAGTGCCCTGAGGGTGCCCACACCCTCAGGGACCCCCTCCCGCCCGGCTCTGGAAAGGGGAAAGGGGTTTAAACTTACCTTTTTCCAGCGCTGGGCGTAGAGCTCTCCTCCTTCTCTCCTCCTCCGTTCCTCACCGTCGGCTGAATGCGCACGCGCGGCAAGAGCTGCGCGCGCATTCAGCCGGTCGCATAGGAAAGCATTTACAATGCTTTCCTATGGACGCTGGCGTGCTCTCACTGTGAAAATCACAGTGAGAAGCACGCAAGCGCCTCTAGTGGCTGTCAATGAGACAGCCACTAGAGGATTAGGGGGAAGGCTTAACCCATTATAAACATAGCAGTTTCTCTGAAACTGCTATGTTTATTAAAAAATGGGTTAACCCTAGCTGGACCTGGCACCCAGACCACTTCATTAAGCTGAAGTGGTCTGGGTGCCTAGAGTGGTCCTTTAACTACTTGGTATAACTTCAAGCCTGCTTGTATACAAAAGACTTTATTCATTTACTTTCTAAAGATCTTGTTTGTGGCATATCGCCGAAACCCTGTTTTTTCTCACAAAGTATCCTGTTTGTGGCAGACTGCCCTTTATTCTTTATTTTCAGTAAATTTGTTATGTCTAATACGAAAAATAAAGTTTTAACCAATAACCTTTGCAATCGTCTCCTCTCTGACCTGCTCAGGAGCATGACATAAACTCATTGATGTTGTCTTGGTGCACGGCCCCTGTCCCCCTTAGTCCTGCAATGTAAAACATTGCCATTTTTGAGAAACTACAATGTTTACATTGAAGGACTAAGACTACTAGACAGCCTCTAGAGGCACTTCTGGGAGTTTAACAGACGGTTGCCTAAATGACGCTGGACATCCTCATGCTCTGCATGACACTCATTGTCATTGAAATCCCCAAAGGAAATGCTTTCCTATGTGGAGGGCCTAATGCGCTTGCTGTGCATGCGAATCAGGTCCCCCTGTTGGATGATGTCCAAGGTGGTGGAGGGCCGACCCAGTCAGGGGTCAAGTCCTGGGGAATAAAGTGTGGGAACTCACCCAAGATCCACCCCAACCTACCCCCCCCCCAAAAAAAAATATACACTCTTATGCATATATAAACGTGCACACACACACTGACAGGTGCACACATACACACTCAGACAAACACATACACTCACACACACTCATAGAAACACACATAAACTCACAGACACACACACATACACTCATACACGCACACACATACACACACACACACATACATTCACACACACATACACACACACACATACACTCACAGAAACACACAAAGTATTCATGTTTTTTAAAATTTACAAAAGTCCACCCAGCCTCCCTACATGTGGCATTTTTTGCTGCCCTATGAGTGTCTGCAGGAGCAACGGGAACAGCGTTCCTGCTGTTAAAAAAAGTGCAGGAACGCCGTTCTCACGCGTTCCTGCAGGACTCGAGCCCTGGACCCAGTGCCAAGGGACATTGGCGCTGGGATCGGGTGAGTAAATAAAGTGTTTTTTTTTAACCCTTTATGTACTGGGGGTGGGGGGGGGAGCGGAGCCGCAAGGGAAGTGAGGGCAGAGGGCAGTTTAGTGTTAGGAATACAGCTTTGTATTCCTAACACTATAAAATCCCATTAACCATATTTTCTCTTGTTTATCTTGCTGAGTGCAGGATTCATGCCAAATTATATACATATTTCTGATGTATATGACATGGAATAGATAAAAGTGCCATTTAAGAGAAAAAAGAAACAACTTCCTTTCTGCATGTCATGCAGCGTACAGCCAAAATAAATACATTTATAAATGTATTTATTTATTTTTAAATAATTATCTGCATTGCGATTTTGAACTGAGATTCATAAATTAGTTCATTTTTCATATTTCAGCCAACGTAAACTTTAAATTTTGATGAATTTTCTTGTATCTAGAAAGGGTGCAGCTGTTTTTATGTAATGCTAAGGGTTTTTTAAACTTCAGAATGTCGTGTTTGTTTTTACTTCCAAAGCTTGTTGCCAATGCCAGTTTCTGGCCTACTAATTTGCAATACTTATTCCCTATATAGAGATTACACTTAAAACGAGATGATAAAAAATACCAGATGGCTTTAATTTAATTGTCAGTCTAAGTTGAGCAATATCTACAGTGTTGCCCATCTAAGCCATCTTTTACTAGAATTAGATAAATGGACCCACATTTTATCAGTTAGCATGTTTTGCATGTAAGAGTTAACTTAGCCTCATATTCCTTGATATGATCTAATGTTTAACTGTTTCAGGTTGTGGTAATCATGATTGCCCATTTAAACTTGTTAATTGCATCTCACATGGCTTTATTATTTTTGTGTATAATACCAATCCATCTCAGTTCATGTGAGCCCAAAGTGACCTGTCTGGTTACTCTCCTTCAGACCTTGGCTCCTGATTACTCCTCCCTTTCATGTCTCTACATTACTGGCTGTAAAGCTCAGCTCCCACTATATGACCATGTTAACTGATCATCTCATTCCCATCTACATTACTGGTAGCAATCAACTCAAGACAAGTCAAGTCCCGACCACGCTCTTGGATCATCCTCGGTATTGCTGCCTTAATCTTACAATCAGTAATCCTTCCTCAATATAAAAAAATACAATTGATACACACAAAAAAAGCATGTCAAACTATATCAAAGTAGGAATAAATTTACATTTTAGTCAGGGTAAACTAATGCCTACATGCAAATCTAAATGTGTCAACAATGTCTCTACACCAAGAAAGTAGACATAGAGGTAATCATTTATGTAAACCATCTATTTCAGTTTTTTAACGCATAAGACCAGAAGACTTATCATAACCTAGAAATAACCTGCTGTAAGCTATCTTCAATAGGGACTCCCATCTAAATATATGAACATAAGATATTTAAACCCTATAATCTGTCATCAAAGAACCCCAATCATGGTTGGTACTAAGAGAGCAAAGAAAAAGGAATTTTCAAACTGAAAGTATTAAAAGTTCATATTCTGGTTTCAACTTCCAAAATTTGGTGGTTGGTAAAAAATAATTAAGGGGAGTGGAGCCATTACTAGAGCTCCCAGTGCATCTGCACCAAAAAGAGCCTGAATAGCGAGAAAATCTGCAAGTAGTCAAAAACTGAAGCTGCCACATACCTGCAGTCATGGGGCATCGGAGCAAGAAGTGCAAGCCAGATCGACCCTCTACAATGGCCGATATCGGCGATTTATTGTGGGGCCGCACTTTTGCAGAGGTCTGTCATGGCGCCACTCTCGGATCCACCATCACGCACTACAAGTGAGGAATCCCTGTGTGAAGAGTTACCCTTTGGGGCCCGGCCAGATGACCCAAAGCTGTGCTCACCACAGAAGCCTGCCAGAAAGCCTCCGGTCAACATCGCGGCCGACATCGGGCAGTTCCGAGAGGAGATAAGTGGGTTCTCGTCTCCACAATTCGGAGCTCAACACTGCAGCCCATGAGACCTGCATTGCCACCCTGGATCAGACCCTAGCAAAACTCCAACACAAAGGCAAACTTATGACCGCCTGGTGGTTCTAGAAGACAAACGGAGATGGAAGAACATCAAAGTCCGCGGCCTACCTGATACTATGGAGGTAGCAGAATTCCCGCACCTCTTCCGCAGATTATTATCTACGCTCTTCCCATCCAAGCAAGCCAAAGCTATGACCCTGAATGGGTGATACCACATTCTGGGACCCACCACGGGCACACAGAAGACGGGCAGAGACATAATTCTGCGCTTGCAACAAGGGCAAGACCGCACAGCCTTCATGGCGGCTGTCTGCAAAAAGACACCACTTAAGTTTGAAGGGCATAACCTCACCTTCTTCCCAGACTTATCTAAGGCCACCATGGACTGGTGCAGATCCTTGAGACCACTCACACAGGCACTAGCCACTAACAAAGTGCCATACAAATGGGGTACACCTCCCTGTCTGCTAATCACCTAGAACACAGGGACCCTCAACGTTCTGGAGGCTTTGGAGATGACTGGTATCCTGCTCCAGCTCGGACTATCTCTACAGACTCCTGAGGCCGTACCTCAGCCGACTTCAGCAACCTGGGACCCGAAGAGGGTCATACTGTTCATACCAGCGGCCCGCAGGAGGGACCCTGTCAACAGTGATAGTGCCCTGATGGCGCCTAGGATCTTACTATTGTGCCTTTTGCGTACACTCATGTGTGCTTCTCAGTTTTTTTACCTTATGTTTCCTTTGTTGATTAATATTAATATAGTTAATATATAGTATATAGGACAAGTTTAAATCTCAAATTGCTTTGACACTGCCTAACTGGCACCCTTAATGGTCATATCACCCAACAATTTCTCCCCCCACTCCCCACTACTCAATAACTTCACCACTGATTAAGTGGGGTCTCTAGCCCTCTCAAACAACCTGGATGTACAACTCCTCTTGATTAGAATATTTTATGCTGGAGGCGTACTCTGCATCATACCCTTAAGTATCCCTTCTACTGTCTACCATTTTCTCAGCTTACAGAGGGTAGCAGATGCAGTATCCAACGTACTACAACTTACTACACAATTTCTTATATAATACCAAGCCTAGAATGCCCAATGCCTACACATGTTAGATGCAGTACTGTTGTTTCTGTCTATATTGATTTTATCTCACCATTTCTCTACTCACTGTATTGTACACTGAATTATTGATCGCGAATAAAGAAAGAATAAAAAAAATGTAAATATATTTTAAAAATTATTAAAGGGACACTACAGTCACCCAGATGAAGCTCAATGAAGTGGTCTGGGTGCCAGGTCCCCCAAGTTTTAACCCTTCAGATGTAAACATAGCAGTTTCAGAGAAACTGCTATGTTTACATTGCAGAGTTAATCCAGCC